CCTGCTCATTCAGTCTGTTCTGAGTTGAACTGCACTCAGTCTTCCTCCCTCTGTAGTTTGTGAGTGCTCCGACCAGGTGAGAGAAATGACAGGGTGTCGGGGTCTACTGAGCTTTTGTGAGGGTCTTCTTGCTAAGTAATACCCTGGAGGAGGTCATCACAAGGAGAGACAGGAAGCTTCCTGGTAGCACCTGGCCTTTATAGCAAAGTCACTCCCAAGAAAACCTGTAAATCTATGAGTAGACTGAACCCGACTCTGCATGAAGGCAGAGTCCTCATGAGCCAATCACCTCCCGGTATTCCTTCAAGTCCCAGTAAGATATAATTTCGGGAATTGAGTTTCCAACAGAGGATTTCCAGGACACAGCCACTGAAACCATACCATGAAGAAACTTTTCAAGTTGAAACAAAAGCGCTAGGGGAGCCTCCTTTTTAAATCCCCATTGATGAGGGTTTGTTTTCAACATTCCCCTATAGATTTCAGGCTGGGAAATTTGAGGTGGGAGACTCGGTGGTGGTGAATGCAAATCTGCTCTAATCGCAACAAGGGTATACCCATGCATTAAAATTCCGTAGAGATTGATTTTATGTGAGAGACAAAATGTTGATGAAAAGTATGGGGATGGAGCTTTTTTTCTCATGGGCACATACCTGTTTTCTGACTCCCTGGCAGGCATCATTCCTGAATCTACTAATAGAGGATGTCACAAATCATGTGATGAAATATAAAATGGAGTGTCTGGGGCTAAAACTCAGTGGCAGATGGCTGGCCTAGCTTAAGTGAAGCTTGGGCCAGAGCAAAGCACTATAAATGCAGAGTACTAGTGTAGAACATGGAGCATTAGGGATAGCACTTCATAAATACATAAACAAATAATGTAAAGGCATGTTCTTCATCTGTGTGTAGCAATATATATATAATCTACAATAAAATCTACGAAATTAACTACAACCTAGGGTCCCCATAGAGTCCCAGAAAATAGGGGAACTGTATTCACGCCATGGGAACATGTGCGGTTCTCATGTTTAATTAGTAGAAAATGATGTATCATGCCCTCTTCTGATGGCACATGAGGAATTATGGCCTCACATTCAGTTCCTAAGACTAGGGCAGAAGGAATGCTGGAATCCCTGCTGGTCTTGGAGCACGTCCAGGCCACTGACCACTTGGGTTGGTGCGTTGTTGGCTAGAGAAGATCTCCTCCAGCTTCAGCAGCTTCCACGGTTGTCTGTTTTCAGCCAAAGAGTTGATCCCCAAGGAGATAATGTGATGCTCTGGGATCTCCCGACCCAGTGACACTGTGTAAAATAAGACCTGAATGGACGAAATCCTGTGGAAAATGAAGTTCTACCAGGACAAGAGTTCTGAGGAAAGAAGAGGAAATTCAGGCCCCGGTGTGGTTTCTGATGAATAATGAAAGGCACCAGGTACTGAAAGCTGAGCTCCTGGGTGAGTCCCATGTTGGAGGCCAGCGTGGCAAATTTGCCTGGCTTTGCTCTCTCTTCCAGCCTGCCTCCCTTTCTTTCCTTCCTGGAGATAAGAGCCAGGGTCTTACCTATTCCTTCTCAGTTTGGCATCCACTAGAAATGAAAACCAAACTTCTAATGGTGAAGCATGTTACATCAAATTGAGCCAAATGCAAGGAGCCATAGTTTCTGGAAATGACTGGCTTGATATTCTTTCTCTCCTTTTTTTATTTTTCAAATTGGAGTGGTAGAAGCAGAGCAACAGAAAGGAAGGCTGGTTCTCTCTTGTGGGGCAATACTACCATCCTGAGGAAGTCCTTTGAAGAAGCCCCAGCCCCTGAGCCCATCCTGCATGAAAGGCCTAGGAGCTGACCAAGACAGGACCCTGGGGTGCCTGAGGCCCCATTACCAATCTAGGCCTCCAGGCCTATTATTGGTCTAAGGCCAGGTCAGAGCAAAGCACCATGAATGCAGAGTCCTATTGTAGAATGTGGAGCATTAGGGACAGCAGGACTGAGCCTACAGGTGCCTCAGTATGCCCCGTCCTGCTGTTGTCACACACCTGCAAGGAGGGATCATACTGCATTCAGTCTTGATCCATCTGGATCCTCCTGGGAGAGCTGCTTCTACTGTAGGCCTCCCACTGGTCCCACCAGGCGTGGTGCCTGGGTCTACATCTGGGACGGAAGTGAGTCAGGCACACAACCGAGTGTCCTGCTGCCTACATTCCCTCTTCCCCCTGTCCTTGGTGTAAACATTTTCTACTCCTTCGTAGGCAAGCATACCTGAGCTTTGGCATCCAAGAGCCCAAGACAATGGGATACCATGAAGAACCACCAGAGAAGAAGGCTGAGTGAAGCGCAGACATGGGAAGAGGTGGTCACGTGGAAAGTGAGTTCACAAAGAAAGAGATGAAATAGGGTAGGCCCTTTTCTTTTTTTTCTTTTAAAAGAGAGAGAGAGAGAGAGAAAGAGA